CCACAACTGTTGGCAGTGCAGACACACATCTCACCTTCAAAGGATGTCCCGAGCCCTGATGGGTTCAAAGGCAGGGTAGGGGCCAGCCTGGATTATCATTGGCTGCAGGGTAGCTAGAAACTTGGCATGCCAGGTGCTTCTGTGTTAAAGACCATCAACATCAAGAGCATTGGGTTTAAAATATTAGTATTAGAGACAGTTTATGTACTTTATAGGTTTAGCTTAATATTATTGATATGATTATAATATTAATTCTTTGATGCTGCTTGCCTCTTTGCTGGTAAGTTGTTAGAGTTATAGTCCCAGCTCCAATAGTTTCCTTCGGAATGCCCATACAAATGTTCATTCAGAAAATAAGTCTAGGTAGTTCTAAGAGTAAGAGGGTTTTGAGAAGAGGATGGGTCAATATATCCCTACCTACATAGCCTTTGGACATTGTGATTAGTTGGTCTCTTACAAGCCAGGGTGACTAAACTTACTATCTTTAACCATGAGAAAGGCTTTCCAAATATTTTTTTCCTCTATAGGACAAAGGGCTCTCTCCTTCATGCATATGTTTCTTGAAGCACAGAGATAATGTACACTTTGGATGGTTTTAAAGAAACTTCATCTACACTCCTGATGAGGAAATGGCATACTTTTTAGCCCATGGGAAAATCTGGAAGTTAGGTGGTCAAAGACTCCCTGAGCCCACGGCATCTTTCTCTTTAGTCTCTGAAGATGAGAGGAAATGTGCACTCTACATCTCCAGGAATAACTCTGTCTCATTCAACTGTTACCTGGGGTGAGGTTGTACTCTCCCCGAAGAACATCTTGCATCACCAGAAACATGCTGCAGAGACACACTATGGGCAATACGCGTTTGGTGGCTGACTGCCTGGATTGGTGGATATCTTACAAGTCAAACACCCTGGCTTCACTGTGCTGAGATGATGCACTAGGGTTTTTCAGCAGTGGGGAGAACCATGAAGATGGTTTTGTATTAATTCACCAAACGTCACTTTTGCATTTTCTCAGCCCTTCTTTAACAGATACAGGGATGCCAAAACATTTTTAAATGTTCTTTTCTGTCCACAAGTTGATGGCATCAGAAAGCGTCCAGTCATTTGCAAAGTGAAATGAGACAGGCCAAGGCCAAGTAGAGCTGTTTCCACTGTTGGTGGAAAGAGCACTAGGCTGAATCAGAAGATCAAGTTTTATTCTCAGCTCTGCTATTAGCCCTGAGGGTGACTGGACCAGTCCCTTAACCACCCAGCCAAAGAGGTCAGAATAGATAACTTTGGAGGTGATTTTGATGCCAATTCTGTGAGTCTGCAGTTAGTGCTTTGGGAACTGGGGGTTCTCAATTCTGTTTAACGTTTGCAAAGGTATCTGTTTAAACTTTTGCAGGGATACCTCTCTTGCTAAGAAAATGCATACAAAATCAATTTTTGTGTCTGTATCCTGTTTCTTCTCCCAAAGACTCACAGAGCAGTTTACAGAGAAATGAATACCTACCCTAGTTCAAAATTGATTTGGCTACATTTGATACACTCTTCCTTTCTTAGAATATGACTTTTCAGTTATAATAGCCCCAAAGATTGCTTTTCGCACATCCTTCATTTTTATGATTCTTTTCAAAGACTTCTTATGCTGCTCACAGTAAAACTGTCTGTTAGGTTTTCAGCGGGCTCAGAAGTAAGCAAACTAGAAGTGTCTAGTCCTTACCATAAAACAGAGGAGCTAATGTGCTCATGCCATCATGTGAGAAGGGAAAGCCACTCCATTTCCTCTTACACAGATTTTGATTTGGAGACAAGAGAAAGAAGAGATCTTAGTTTTCACCAAGAACCAGAGTCTAAGTTAGAGCTCTGTCCTGAGCTTGGTCTGCAGTTATCACACTGGTCAGAAAACCAATGCCCATGAGAGTGAGGCCAGTATTTGAGAAGCAGATGCTGGCTAAGAGTGGCTGGTCCTGTCTGTACCAGAAGAGACTGAAAGCTGGGACCATGTGCTTGAGTGGTCCAGACTTCAGGACCCAGGGACTGCTACTTACTGGGACCAAGGGTCCTGAGAGAAATGGCATTCTCTAGAGGAAAGGAACAGACAACATTACTGTCACTCATATATTTTAAGTACCTTTAGAAAGGCCATAGGAGTGTGGGTTTTCCAGAAAAACAGAACCATCAGGAAGGCATATGTATGTGTATGTGTGTATGTGTGTTCTATCTGTCTGTCTGTCTGTGATCTTTGCCCCAGCTTGAAGTCTTTCAGCTAGAGGGAAAAATGTATTGGATTCAGCCTTTTGTTCTATTCAGATCACTGATCATGTGATAAGGCCCACCACATTGGGGAGGGCAGTCTGCTTACTTAATATATAGAGTCTAATGTTTATCTCATTCAGAAACAACTCACAGATACACTCAGGATAAGGTTTAACCAATATATAGGTACCTGTGGCCCAGGCAAGGTGACACATAAAATTAGCCATCACAAAGACTGTCTCTTGCATGATTGCTGGCTGCCCTTTGAATTGAATGTAGGAAGAGCTTCCAGGGGATGCCTCATGCTGACAGCTGATTGAAATGGAAGCTTCCCCACCTCCAGCTCCTCCCAAGAACAAATGTGTTAAAAATCATTCTGTGCACTCTTGTCTCTTCTGCAGGCTGTGGCTACTTCCCAAGCACCAACAGAATTTGAAGAGTTAGAAGGAAATAGGTTGAGACTATAAGAATACAGGTTATTGAACCAGATGCTGGTAGCTCACACCTGTAATCCTAACTGCTTTGGGAGACTGAGAATAGAAGGATCACAATTTGAAACCAGCAAGGGCATACCCATTGCTGGGTACACGGGCACACAACTACCCTCATAAGCCATGTGGGAGGCTGAAATTGTGAGGATTATGGTTCTAGGCCAGCCCTAGACAGAAAAATCCACAAGACTCCATCTCGGTGTAGGGAAGATATGCCCATTGTTGCTTGTCTGTCATCCCAGCAATGAAAGGGAGCCAAAAAAAAAAAAAAAAGGTGGATCACAGTCTGTAATTATACTGAGACAAGAAGTGAGACCCTATCTGAAAAAATAACCAGTAAAAAGCAGAACTGAAGATGTGGCTAGGTGATAGACTACAATACCTTCTTGGCAAATCAAAGTCCTGAATTTAAACCCTAGTACCAAAATTAGAAGAACAACAACAAAAACAAAAACCAAATAACAGATTCTTAGAATAGGATTATTTGAACGGGTCTGCACACAAATTATTTTCCACTCTTTTCCCTAATAACTATACCAGCCTACTCCTTAATTGATACATTACTGGCTAGGGCTGATCTTCATCATTATAAAAGAATACTATCAGAAGAGCTCTACAGAAAACTACCCAGGTAGGGAACTGATGATCTACAAGGAGTTAATTTGAAAAGTGGGATATAAACTCTGGTAGGCTTAGAAAATGTCTATCTTTCTTGTTAGCAACATATCCAAGATGATGAGTATTTCCTTCTCATGCCTCCTGGCTTCTCAGCTTCCGTAGTCTGTGCCAGAGGCTGGAGCCATGGGCAGCAACATTCCAGACATCCATCCCTGGGCATGGAAACATAGTCAAGTTAACTATGGTTCAAAGTAGAGGACAGGAACGGAAGTATTTTTTAAAAGGAAGGAAGAAAATAACCCAGGGAAATAGTTGTGTGCTGAGTGTGGCTTAGTATGTGTAAAGCCCTCACTTCAATCCCAGCATAAAAATATAAATCAATAAGAATGATGAAGAAACAAGTACAGAAAAGAAATTTTGTCTCTCTAATATTGTAATTTTAATGGAGCGCTTGTCATGTATTTATTAGACAGGAGTTACTTTCTTGATGGCTGCAGTCATTTTCCTTATGGGTCTTCAGCCTCCCTTGAATTATCTGTCCTCTGTGAGAAAGAACAGAGCAAGGATGGGATGTGCGACAGGCGAGGGACCTTGGAAGTCAGCAGGTCTAGTGGTTAGCAGGGGTGACTGGCTAAAACGTATATATGCTGGAGAAAAGCTCCACCATACACCTTTTCCTTGATTGGTGACAAAGCAAAAGAACTAAGTTGTTTCAGGTTGCAGACTGGAAGAAGGTTGTAGAAAATTAAGGTGTACAGCTTACTCAGGTTGGGAAAGGAGAGGAAGCTGAAAGGGTGTTAAAGAGACAGCATCATTGTGCTACAGGAGAGTACCTCACATCTCTTTTGTCTGTGGAATGTGTAAGTTTCTGGGACTATCATGATACTTGCCTAATGGCTCCACAAGAATAGTTAGTGTGCAGCTCCGTCTATCGTTAATCTAAACACCCACCCATCCATCCATCCAGCTATCTATCCGTCCATCACCCATCCATCCATTCATACATAAATCCACCCAACTATCAGTCTACCCATCCACCTATCCATACATCCATTCACTCATTCATCCACCTGTCCATCTATCTATCCACCCATCCATGCATGCATGCATCCATCCTTCATGAATACATCTGTGAAATGGCCTCCATGAACTTACCCATAATATTCAGAAGGTGAAGAAAAAACAATTGTCTTCTACTGTAGGAATTCATAGCCCAATGGGCTACACCTGATGTATCAATGGTAATGGCTACTTAGAGAGAAGAGAGCTCAGGGGATGATGGGAAAGAGGCCTCCTATTTGGATTCTGAAGGGGAAGAGAGGCATTTGTGGAAGTGGTGCTATTTTAGATGAATCCTGAAGGAGGACTTACCTTATGGAGAACTTCCTCCCCTCAGTAGCAGGACTTGTCTTCCTTTTTCAGTGAAAGAGAAGTCCTGTTGTCCTGTCCCTGGCACTTTTGGTCCAAGCTCTGCCTCTCCTAGCCAATGAAATCTGCACTGAAATATTTGTGCTCTTGGCTTTGTTGGTGGTGAAGTTGGAATGTTCTAGGGTGTGTGAAATAATACTGTATCTGCCATTTATCTTAGAAAACCCTTGGCACAAGAACAGTGTATTCAAGATACTTTTTCTTCTCTCTATCAATGCAGGATTTGATGACCTTCATGTATGTGCTGACCCTGGTGTTCCAGAGAATGGATTCAGGACCCCCAGCACAGGGGATTTCTTCGAAAGCTCTGTAACACGATTTCACTGCCAAGACGGATTCAGGCTGAAGGGCTCTACAAAGAGATTGTGTATGAAACATCTTAATGGAACCCTAGGCTGGGTCCCAAGTGATAGACCCATCTGTGTGCAAGAAGGTAAAGTGTTTACTTCTCCAAGAAAGCCACTCAAGTGGCTCAGCTGCAGGATTGCCTTGGGGTTGATCTCTGTTTCTGACTTTACCAGCATGAATACATTGAGGACTAGGGTAGGGGACAAGTTAATCTCAGCATTAAGAGAAACAGTCTTCCCTCTGTATGTCAATTATAATCTAATTTATCTCCATTTTTGTCAAGGCAAGAGAGCAACTCAGATAACATTAGGGCTATTTGTTATTAGGCTGCCAGCTCAGCACTCATTCTCATGTCGTCCAATAAAAAGTGCAGTAAATATATTGTGAAGAAACTCTATTTAGTGAAACAAAAGACAAGTGTTACTCAGAGGATTAAATCAAGTCCTTCTGAGCTCTGTATTAGGTGTGATTCATTTAAGGAAAGAAAGCAGGACTGATTTGCATGGTAGACATTTATTCCTAGCAATTACACCTAAATCTATTGGTGGTAACTAGATATTCAATTACTTCTGAAAATCACCTTAAATACACACACACACACACACACACACACACACACACACGTATACACACATATATGTAGACATATTTAAAGTTTTAAATAATGTATTGAATTGAACTAATTGGACTGCCAAGTGGTTGTTGATTATGCATCTCAGAGGATCAACAAAGCTGAAGTTGGTGTAGTCATTAATCAAGAATTAATTCTAGCCCCCAGTTTTATGAAGCCTAGAACTTCTATGTTGTTGAGCTCATTAGGAATGAGTTCCAGGATCTCTTGATACCATTATTGAGTTTATTTGGGGAGGGAGCTTTTATGATACTGGTATGTAAGTGAAAGTTGTGATTCTGTGCATGTTTCTTTTATGATACTTTTAAATAATTTAATCTGAAGAGCAGTTTTTAAAAAATATCTATTATGGTCTTCCTCGTGGAAATTGTAAAGGATGGGTAGGATGATGTGTTGTTCTTAAAGTACCTCTAATCTTTACTTTTGCTTTTGTTTTTAAGATGAGGATGTGTATTATATGTATCATATATATGTATATTGTAAGTATGTATCACATGCCCTATAGACATAGAGAGAAAAGGAGATAAAGATAGGTAAAAATATAGCCAAATTTAATGTTTTAAAAATAAGTTTATTTTCTCCTCTTGCAAGCAGTCCATGCAAGCTGTGCTTTTCATGAGAACCTACTTAGTTAAACTTTATTTGGTTCATGAATGTAAACTTTGCTGCCAAAGGGAAGTCATATGACACCCGGTACTTAAAACACAGACAAGCTCAGGGACATCAGAGAACAAAGAAAACCCAAAATAGGCTTCCTGAATATTGCCCAGAGATGAAAGCTTCTGTTATTTTACTATTGCAGGAAAAACCAGTTTGTCACATTTTAGCTGAGCTTCCTTCCAGCTCCACATGCCATGTAGTAATTCCTGAGAAAGGAGTAAGATTTTCTGTTGTTCAGGTCGGTATGCATAGTTCCTGATGCTTAGCCCACCCATGCTGGTAGGAGCTTGATGAAGAGAGCACCCTCAAACAAGACAGTCTGATGTTTTCAAAGGAGGGTCCAGGTCTGTGTTCCAGTCATGGTACTGGGCTCTCATCATTTTGGAAATCTGGAAGACTGTTGCCAGCCTTAAGCACAATGATGTACAATTTCATTCTAATCTTAACAGTGATATTGTATGGTCTTTGAAAGATCTGCATAAAGACATTGTTCTTGTGTCCCAGATGGAGGGAAAGCAGTTTTAATGTCCCAGGCTGTGTTCATTTATTCTCTCCGGTTTATGAGGAGGTTGATGGGGGCACCCAGGAAGACTCGTCTTTCTGATTTAGCCCTTGCTCAAGATTTATGCTGGGAGAATAATAGCAAGGGCAGCTGAATTACTTTGTTTCCCTTGCTGGGTATCTCTTAGAAAGCCAATGAATTTTGGTAGGGGCAGTAATGATAATAATAATTTATCACATTTTTATAGGTTATTAAAAGTACCCCCAAGGTCACTGTATCATTTAACACTCTACAAGCTGAGATTCATAGTTCTCACTTCCTAGCTAGTAAACTGAGGCTCAGAGGGGTCCACTCACTTTGTTAAGATCACAGAGCTGATGAAGAAGCAGCAGAAATACAACAGCAGCAAAACAACTACTACTACTACTACAACAAAAACTGGGTTTATCCAGGCCAGCCCTGGGGAAAATGAAGTGCTTTCTGTTTCAAATCTCCATCTTTCAGGGGTCAGAGAGAGTGTGAAGAGCTTGTATGTGACCCAGAATGTTACAATGAGACAATGGAGAGAGAAAAGTCTTGGCTGGACAGGAACTTCCTCTGAGTCCCACTTCCTCCCTCTCCTCTGAATCTAGATCTCTTGGGACAGCATCTACATTTTTCTTTGTAGATAAAGCAATAATTCATATGAAGTGAGGAGAGGAAGGGCAGTTAGGAGAATGTCCATGTATAAAGGATGGGTTCTTAAAAGATTAGGTATGTGCTTAAAAAAAAAAAAAGAAGAAGTTCTCAGTGTATCACCCTGAAGCCCAGTTCTCTTCCTCCAAGACAACCAACTTAATAAGTTGTTGTTCTGGACAGTTCTGAGCTCTCATAGTTACACTACAAATACCACCTTCCCCCACCCCAGCACTAAACCCCCACCTCTGTCCTCTACCAAGGTTGTTTCCCAACCTTCTTTGTGCCATAGAAGCCCCATTCTAATCAGACACAGAGCACATTGTTGCAACAAATGACCTGGGTCAGGGTCAGGTTCAGGGCTGAAGGTGTTACTGTTGGGGAGGGTGGAGGGGGGGGGGACATCTGAGCTTACGATGCTGCCCCAGGTAGGCAGAGAACCACAAAGAGGAAGAGTGCAAGGAGTGATTTTCTAGTGAAGTGAAAGAACACCGTGGCACATGAGGGAGACAGCTGGGATGAGGACTCGCTGTTGTGAAACTTAAGCATTTTTATTATTCAGTAGGGCAGGTTTCTAGGTGGCCTGAAATTGGAGCCCTCCTCTGGGACCCTTGCCTAATAGTTTGGTGTAGCTCAGTGTCTGCCTGGTGTAGGAAGTATAGGCACATGCTTTTGAGAAAGTGCAAGCAGGTGCCTATGCATTAGAGCCTCTTGTCCCTTCCAGGTTTGGCACTGCCATTGGTCCTTATACCCCTCAAGGCATAGATATGACCCTGGGCTCATAGAGAATTTAGGGGTATTATCTAACCTGCAGGTCTGTGGCGTAGGTCACTGGTATTTTGTGATTCCATCTCTCCAGTAAAGTAATGGAATCTTTGTCAGGGGCTTTTCCACAGTTCTGCTCAATTTTACTGAGCCCTAGGCTGCCAGAGAGACCCATGAAGTCATAACCCCAGCCTTCATTCTGATTTGATTTAGTTTTTATTTGGCAGATAGAGAAACTGAGTCTCAAAGAAGACCCTTCCCTGAATTAAATGAAGTAGTGACTGGCAGATGTGTTGTAGCCCCAGGGCTTGTCTCTGTTCCTAGGCTTTACGCTGTGGACCAGTTCTGTCTGAGACATTCATATGCATTACAGTGCTTGTAGCAGTGAAGTGCTCTACAGAAGCATTTGCCTGACTCTTTGCACAGTGTTAGGTATAAGTTTCTCTTGGGTCCTCTCTTATTCTTCACTGCATTCTGCAGCACATGCCATCTGTCTTCTCTTTACCTTTCCCATATAACTTGTTCATCCCAGGCAAACTCACTTTTAGTTTGGACTTACAGAAACAAATTCCCCTGAAGTTTGCATTCTGAGAAATGAGATTGTGTCTTTGTGATCCCAGGCATGAGTGAACACATTTGTGGTCCAGAGAACAAGGGAAGTGTGATGGAGAGGAGACCTGGAATTGGCACAGAACTAGGAATCCACCCTGTGGGCACTGACCTACTAAATACATTGGCCAAGGCTAAGAAATGGTATCAGTGTTTTGCTGATTCACACTTTGCTCTGTACAACTTCAAGAAGTAGTGTAAGCCACATGGGTATACACCTGTAATCCTAGCACTCTGGAGACAAAGGCAGGAGGATGATGAATTCTAAGCCAGCCTGGGCTACATAGGAAGACAGTCTCAAAAGTAAGAAAAGCACATTCTAACATTAATTAAAGATGACTTTCAAAGTATTTCAAGAGATTAAAATAAAACCTATCAATTCAAGGACCTGTATTTGGGACAGATAGAGGAGAAAAAAAATCAACCTGTATCTTGACAAGTTTATTGATTGTCCATATTAATATAAGTATTTCCTAGCTTAACACTTTGTGTTACAGCTGAGCTACTGAGTACATTTCAACCCTTCTATATTGATTATCCTAACTAGGCAGAAGTTTCCTTCCTTCCTTCCTTTCTTCCTTCCTTCCTTCCTTCCTTCCTTCCTTCCTTCCTTTCTTCCTTCCTTCCTTCCTTCCTTCCTTCCTTCCTTCCTTCCTTCCTTCCTTCCTTCCTTCTTTCCTTCCTTCCTTCCTTCCTTTCTCTCTCTCTCTCTCTTTCTTTCTTTCTCTCTCTCTTTTTCTTTCTTTCTTTCTCTTTCTTTCTTTCTTTCTTTCTTTCTTTCTTTCTTTCTTTCTTTCTTTCTTTCTTTCTTTCTTTCTTTCTTTCTTTCTTTCTTTCCTGCAGATAGATCCCTAAATAATTTATCATACTGCATTCCTACATGGATTAAAGAGTCTTCTTTAGACCATTGGACAATATTGAATAGCATCCAAGTCCCTCTTCCCTTTGGATTCTCATTTCTGGAAAGAGTGTTTAAGCTAGTTTTAAAAAAAGCAGCTCCATCTAGAAGAAACTGGGAGGATTCAGAGTGCTTCTTGAACACTGTTGGGTGTAGACAACAGACTCCATGTGTTAGAAACACAGTGTTTCCTTTCTGAGTGTCCTTTTATGGAATGGGTGCTTTGGGATGTAGAAGGAGTCAAAGGCAGAGCTGCTTCTGACTTAAATTTTTATGAAATGGGTTCTTAATATTTGAGGACTTTCTCACCCAGCTCTTCTCTGCAAAGTAGAGAGAAACATTTCT